TATATTATTACATGACAATGTTGGAATTTAACTTTATGCGGATGAAAACATCGCTTTATTCCGGGGAGCATTCATATCGAATAACCGAGAAGCAAAATTGAATAAAAGTATAAGCGTACCGGACTTCATGAATTGAGAATTATCGTGTTTTCTGCAGTTTGGTAGACTGGCGTGTTCTTCCAAATGATTTGTTGGACTGGTATGGTCTTTCAAACGATCGAACTTTACAACAAATTGTGTATACTATATATAGTATGTTTTGGATGTATATATTCCATATGTATTTCTGAAATGAAGAGGATGGTGCTTTTAAAGGGAGAAAAAGTCTCTTCATAAATATGTTCGTACTTTTTCGTCGTTTGAGGTCATAACTAAATAAATAAGAGCTAGATTTTCAGCTCGGTCACTCAACAAACAAAAAATCCCATAATGGTATCTACACTTCTAAATCCATAACAATTTGATACTTTTTTTTTATTATTTAAAATCACAAATTTAGTAGATTACTTTAATTGAATTATATTATGACAACCATACACATTTAACACGATGATCCACCATCATCGAACTCTTTCGCTGAATCCATGCAGTGTGTATGATTGAGGGTGAGGTTCAATTGGCAAATGTAACTTCTCGACGACCTCCAATGCCACTACATAATTCTCGCAGGCGTAGGAGTCGATCATAGAAAGACACAGACGTCTCAACCGTGCACGTGGACTCAAATATATGATGGCACTGACCGTTAACATCTGACTAGACATGTGGAGATAAAATAGAGTATGTGTGCACCGGTGTAGTGTGTGTCGCAGTGTAGTGTGTGTTTGTGTGAGAGTATGTGTGAGAGAAAGAGAGAGATGTGTGTGTGCGCGCGTGTGCGTGCCTGATGTTTGTGTGCGTGTGTTGTATATGTGTGGATGGTGATGTGGCGTGAGACTCACTGGTGAGTGAGGTGAATGAGGTAAATGACAATATTTTTCAAAGGGGAAATTCTATTGTAGGGTTTGACCTTTTGTTATTGTGCCACAATAAGACATGTATTTTCAACTTTTTCATTTGAGGGTTTCAATTTTAAGTTATTCTCAATATAAGGTCTACTTTTACATTCTATTTACATTCTACTTTTCAATTTAAGACTCCAAATTATTTTTTATTTTTGACATAATTATGTAAACCACAATATTTTTTTAAAACCTATTTTATAAGTACTTATAATGAAAAATGTTAAATATATTTACTAAAATTATCTAATAAGATAATTATTTCATAATTTATATTTATGAAAAAGTTTAATGAATTTTATTTTAAAAGTTAAAAAATAAATTTTAACTTAATTTTAATCTAAATATGTGATAACATTAAAATCTAAACTAACTATTTTTTTTTTGAATAAACTTATAGAAAATATTATTGGTGAATAAAATTTATATTTTTGAAAATGTTAAGAATATATAAAAGTACTACATATGATAAAAGTATTAAATATATTTGTAAAAATAGCTTCGTAAGAAAATTAATTCAAATAAGCTATATTTATGCAAAATTGATTTAGCTAAATGAATTAATTTTTTTACTAAAGTAATGTTATTAAAAAAAATATAATTATTTAAAATATAAATTTCAAAATAATTATATTTTGGTTTACATATTTATGTAAAAATAAAAAGTGAGAGTCTCAAATTGAAAAGTAGAATGTAAAAGTATTTCTTATATTGAGAATAACTCAAAATTGAAACCCTCAAATGAATTTAAATTGAAAATTCAGTTGTTATTGTGACACAATTACAAAAGGTAAAAAGCCCTAATATAAAATTTAGAGCATCTCTAATGATAATTGTCTATTTTATGTTGTATGACATGAAGAATGAAAACAAAAAAATTATGTCTCCAATGGTCAATGTTAATTGTAGTTTCATTCTGTGTAAAATTTTAATTAGTTGAAGAAGATAAATAAATTGAATAAATAATTTAATAAACAATAGAAATTGTCTAGAATGACTTCTACATCTGGAAAACTTTTTAGAATTTTTCTAAGTCACATAACATTATTTATTTATGAAATGTGGCGATCAAATAGAGAAATGGAAAGACGGAGATGGGAAATGAAGAGCGGGTGACTAATACGTAACCGCCAATCCATTGATGTTCGCCGCCTATTCCAACGGATCATTTCAGTTTTCCGATAACCAAATGAAAATTGAGCCAATCCCAATTCCTTGATCAACCGACTACTATGGACAATACTCCGCAAACCCTAACCACCGCCGCCGCTCGCAGCTTACTCGAGGATACGGACGGCGATGAAGAAGCAGACGTCGAGGAGCCCTGTGACTTGGAAGCATGGGAAACCCTACGCAATAGCTTCAAGGAGGTCCAATCGGTGCTCGATCGCAACCGCCGCCTGATCCAACTGGCGAACGACAATCACATGTCCAAAATCCCCCACAGTTTGGCCAAGAATGTCGATTTGATTCGCGAGATCAATGCCAATATATCCAGAGTCGTCCGCCTTTACTCCGATCTCTCTGAGAAATTCTCCGGCATCGTTCACGAACGGCGTGTCTTGCGCGACAAAGCCGCTAAGGATGCCTGATCTTGAAGTATCGTCGATTATCCTTTGATTTTGATTTACTTCTTTGCTGCCTTGATGTTGAAATAAAATTTGGTGTTGTCTGTGACTGTGAGACGGTATTTGATGAACTTGGAGCATGGAGTCTGTGTGTTTGTTGTTTCCTGTCTATGGTGACTTCGAATGTTTGATTCCGGTTATGTGATTGTGCTTATGGCTGTGCTTGTTTTTTTTTCCTTGTTTGCATCTTATAGAGGATTGATGATTCAATGATGAGCTGTGGGGCTTTTTAGCTGCTTATATTGAGTGGTGCCCCAGCAGAGGAAATTTTGAGGTAAATTTATTGCTTTATTTAGCCTTAAGGTAAAATGATAAATCGAGCCAACACGTGTTTATAGTTGGAACTGTTTTTGGTATGAAAACACTACTTTTGATGGAAAATGTGATGGGAGCTGGTTGTATAAACTCTGGTTTTGAGAATGAAATGGAAATTCCTAGCTCATTTAATTTGACTGTGAAACTGGTTGAGGACTTTGAATATGTTTATTTTGGGTGAGTCGTTTGATATAATCGACAGAAACATTTAGGCATAGTTGGAGGGTTCAAAAGAAATCTTTCAAGTGATAATCTGGTTTATGGAAAGCATTAGTGAACATATATGCAGCTGCGAGTTAATTAAATACTTGTGATGTATATATGAGGTTGTTTCAATGAATGGCCAGGAGAGCTAGACATGAGAAATGTATATTTGATTCGACTCTTCTATGGACAGGCTGATTTTGAAAAACAGCTTGTGAAAGATGTATTGATAGGGTGTGTCGTCAACTAGTCTTATACGAGATGTAATTATCTCTCTTCTCGTGGTGCACAATTGTTCTATCATATAATTCTCAATTCTTTGAAATGTTCTTAAAGCTGGTCATAAAATTTAAGAATACCACAACAAAATGCTCTTACACGGGTTGTCCACTGAGATTCTTTCGTAGAGTTGCTAGATCACAAGTATCCTGTCTTGGAGAGTTTTGAATCTCTAAGAGAGACATGAATCGATTTTGTTTAGGCAGATTCATTATTAACGAATTGATTCATTTAAGATGGCACTTTTTTCGTCACAAGTATTTTAGATGTAACAATATGTGCGCAAAGAAAATAAATAGTCTTGTTTAATTAAGGTTTTTTGGATTTTTATTGCAATGTAGTGCTGAGCTGTAAACGAAGTGCAACGGAAGCTGGTGGGCTGTGATTGATGAGCTTCCATCTCTCAGAGCTGGTTAAAGTTCAGCTCTCATTCATAGATACTGATTAGGAAATTAGCAGTTCATATTGTTTTCCTCTCAAGAACACAAATCTCTTGTTAAGGCAGAGAAAAAGATGAAGTTTGATATGTTGATTTTTTTCATTACTCACTGAGGCGATCGTAATTCCCATGTATATGAATTACAACTATGACATGGTGCCGTCATTACTTCACCGAAAAGAGTTGATGTCAGAGGCAGAGCTATTGTTCTTTAAGTACTTCACTCATTCAAGTTTAGAATGTTGCACATAGCTATTTTTAACTGTTAATCTGCTTAATCAGTGTTGAAACGCCCAGGTACACTGAGCTATTGACAGTTTTAAGTAGGACTTGAGCTTGAGGCTAGATATTATGAGTTTTGACAGTTCTTTTTCAAGTTTAAACGAACTTGGTAAGTGTTAAATTACATTGAGTTCTTTTCATTTTAGAACCAGAAGATATCATGTAATATTTGTGTATATCCACAAATTTAATCCATAAGTTCATTCAGACGAATAAAAAGTATTTCAACGTTGTTGTATACATCATAAACAACACATCATAAACACACACGCAAAAATCAAAGTTAAAAATTACTACTTTACTATTATTCGTCTTAGTAATTAACAGCAGGGTGAATAAGAACACATGCAAAAATCAAAATTAAAAATTAGCACTGACCACATACGAGCTATATAACAATGAACTAACCAACTGTCACTAGTTTGAACTTTGAAGTCCAATTCTACTTTATTTGTGGGTGATCCCTTAATATATCTCCTGTCCACGGCAACATAAAAGTGGTACACATACATACACCCACACACACACACACACACACACACAGAGAGAGAGAGAAAGAGAGAGAGAGAGAGATAAAAATGTGATACTAGGCAAAACAAAAAAAGACGAAGATTTTGTCCGATAATGAACTCCATATGAAATCCTTCTGATAAAAGTTCCAAGAAAGACATGATGATCTCACCATTATAGCAAGAAAATGAGAGTCAGATGCCGCTTGATAAGTCTACATTTCTAAATATATAAAGAAAAAAGATATCCCCATATCAGGTAAAGAGGAAAAGCAATTACAAGGGCAGTTCGCCACTATCCGCAATCACAACTTTACTTTTAGGTGTGCCGCTCTGCCTACCTTCTGCCTCCATCTTGTACACCACGTCCATTCCAGACAAAACCTTTCCGAACACAACATGACGGCCATCCAACCTGTAAATTCACGGGAAACATTTAGTAATAATTTAAAGACCCGAGTACGGAAGGGAAAAAATTGTTGGAACAAATATTCGGATCCTAAGAGTTGATGGGAAAAGAAACCGTGTCGATACTTGGGAAGGCAAAATAAGACAGAATGGATGGATGGTTTTCATACATGACACCAACAGATTGAGTTCTTACCAGCTGGTCGTCACAGTGGTGATGAAGAACTGGGAACCGTTGGTATCGGTCCCAGCGTTTGCCATTGACAGAAGCCCTGCATATCAAACATATTAAACAAGTTATCGAATATACATTTGGTGGATGAGACTTTAAATCCAAAGTAGTTTTTTTTTTTTTTTTTTCATTTTCTAATCATCTTTCTTCTCCTTTTCGCGTTTTTTCATTTTTCTTGCATCCTGGTTTTGGGCAAAAATAGGTGATATTATATTAGCAAGTACCAGGTCCGGTATGCTTGATCTTGAAATTCTCGTCGGCAAATTTTTCCCCGTAAATTGATTCTCCACCTCTTCCATCACCGAGGGTAAAGTCGCCTCCTTGAATCATGAAGCTGGGAATAATTCTATGGAATGTGCTTCCCTTGTAATGCAGGGGCTTCCCACTTTTACCAATACCTTTCTCCCCTAAAAAATCGTAGAGTGCCATTAGTGCTTATTGCATGTGCAAACTAGTCAATATCTGAATCCAAAGCATTATTCATAAAGCAGCCGAGATCATACAAAACAATTTTATTGTAACAAGATAAAGATTTTGCTTATTACGTACAAACTGAAAAGACAATTGGTAATTGAACTGAACAAGTCATCTGATAGGCATACACATAAACAAACCAACAAGAAAACTAGAAAGGCATTATTATACCTGTGCACAAAGCTCTAAAATTTTCTGCAAGAAAAGAAAGTGAAAGTCAGTTAAAAGGGTATCATAGTTGGTAAGAGATATAAGCTTTTAATTCAATAAAATCATACCTACTGTCTTGGGAACTGTTTTTCCGAAGAGGCCCATGACAATACGTCCTAAAACAGATGAAATTCTTCTCAGGTTAAATATCACAGCTAAAGACGCCGATTTCTATGTTTATATGTGAACATTAGCATATGTTGAGAATGCGAATGGCCCGCATTTTTTTTTATCTTACTTTGTGTATAACATAAACATATACCACATGATACCGACACAACAATAGCCAAAGGCCCAGACGGCTCATTGAAAATTTAAATATTCAAATATGAACCAAAATTCATGATCTCAATGAAGAACTTAATGTACGAACAATTGTGCTGCTCGCAGCCAAAAGCGTAGAAGATTTGTCACTGTTCAATCTCCGGAGTGTTGTTGCTCATACAAGACTAAAGAGATGCAATACTACTGACTCTCTAACAAACCCATCAAAATTCATGTTTAAATACGCAATACCTGGAATACCCAAAATATCATATGTCACAATGTCACGCTAATTGCAGTTGGCTACATATGGTAAATGCAACTCGCCTTTAAGAACTAAGATTCGAGATAACCAATTTCGTAACTTATCAATATTTCCCATCTAGAGAAGGTCAGAGACAAAGATATAACAATCACAAAAATTGTTGTTGGTCGGGCTAACGGGCGAAAGTACCAAACTATGTAACACAATGTCAGACAACTCAAACCCATTTGCTAAACAAAGTGACTTCTTGGAGATTAGGACATACCAGCAGGTTTTCCATCAATCTCAACATCGAAAAAAACTTTATGCGTCACAGTCTTCAAATCTTCATTCGATTTCTTCGCCTGCAAGAGAGATAATACCAATGTCAAATAAAAAAAAAAAAAAACGTGGGGATCTATTGTCAGAACAAGGTAGGCATCATAGTATTTTACATGACATTGTTTTCCAATTTCGTTTCATTCTCACGGCAAAGAATACATAAACAAAAAAAAGAAAAGAAAATCGTAACAAGAACAGAGATAAAAATAACAAAAATCAATTAATCAATTGCTTATTAAGGTTATGGATCTGAATCGTACAATTACTACAAAACCTAGGCAGATATCGAGCTGAAAAATTACAAACAGTATAAAAGCACTAAATTAAAAACATTAAAAAGGTGAAAATTGTGCATTCGCTTGTAAGAAAAACCTGATTGGGGGCCAAGATGGTGAAGAGTATCAGAGCGAAGAATATATGCAGTCCCCTACAAATCGCCATCTTCTTCTTGGATCGATGTTTGTTTGATCCCTTCGGTTCAGTCTGGTTTTTTAAAAGCTCAGAGAAGAATGAGCTGGGCTGTGACGGCTGTCCCTTTGTTACTAAATCTTGTGAGACGTCATCGTCCAATGTTTTTCTGACACGTATGCTTGTCGACGTGTTCGTGTACTCAGTAGCTGCTGTAGAGTACTTTTAAGGCCTCGTTTGCTAAGTAAGACACGATAGGATAACCCGGCACTTAGAGCATCTCCAACCACAATATGTTCTACAGTAAAATCCCACTAGTTATATCCCACTAGTTATACAGTTTCAACAGTGTCAACAACTCCAACTCATTCCCTCTATAATTCCCCTCTAAAAGAATATTCCAAGCATATTCTTTTCTAATTTAATTAGTTTATTAAATAATCTCTACAAATTACATTTTAGTGCATTATGCTTGCTAAAATTTACATATTTATGTATATATATTAATTATTAATTAATAAGATTAATTAATAAATTTAAATTCAAAATCATAAAATTATACACTACATCATAAAACGACGTGGATTTCATCACAAACATTAATTTAAAAAAAAAAAACAAACATCAACACAAACATGAAGTATTCAATACAACAAGAACTACGGAAAACAAAATACAACACTAGTTATTGGCTTATTGCCATGAGAATATTTTTCCCACAAATGTGCAACCAATGCATTATGAAGTTCATAGTGGGCAGATTTATCCTTGATTCTTTTGTGTCGAGCAAGAAATTGTTGAAAAGAGACGTGATCTCGCGGTGCTGGAGTAACCGTAGGAGCACCAAATTGAA